GAATTCGGGTATGATTACTATTTTTGAGGAGGATCATACTCCCAATGAACGTGCTGCGCTGGCTACTTTTCTGGGGGTTCAGGGTGAGTGGAAGGATTGCCTCAAGTGGAAGGAGGTGAAAAGGGGAGAGTAGACTAGGAACTGAGAAGATAATTCTTCCTTTTTTGTAATTTTAATATTAAAACAGTGGCTGCAATACGTGATCAAGACTTTTAACATGCTCTCTATATCATATCTTCCTTTAATCTACATTGTGCTTCCATTACTATCGCTGTTCTCACTATTGTCATTGAGTATATCTATAATCTCCAGGTATTCGCAATCCTGCCAACCTGTCAAATAAAACCTATTATAGGCTGATGATATGGTTGACGTAGATTAGAGGTCTAGTGCAGATAGTGGATTCGGCGCATTAATATGGGAACAAGTGCCCCCAGATCCCTCACATCTATTCCCAACGGCATGAGTGCTGGTTTTAGCCGGAATTATAAGGCCTATCAGGCTTGACCCCTTCCCGTCCGAGCGGTATTTCCACCACCTCATAGTGTCCATTCCGGGCAGCAGGAAGGAGCAGGGTGAGGGCGAAATCGTCAGGTTTGTTTGAGGTGACCTCTTCCCGCCCGAGCAGTATTTTCACCACCTCCTCATTTCGTCATCGGTACTCGGTCATTGTTATTTGACCCGTCGGGGTTGACCCCTTCCTGTCTAAGTATCACCCCCACCAAATCCTGACTCCCCAACCAAGTGGCATATGAGAGCATCGTTCGGCCAACATTATCTTGCTTGTCAGAGCTGACCTCGTCCCACCGTAGCAGTATGTTCACTACTCCCTCACATCCATTCTAAGCAGTAAGCGAGGGCAGTGCTTGGTTGGTACTGCTAGGCTTGTCCTTGTCGACCGCTTCTTGCCCTCATATCCATTCCAAGCGGCGAATGAGAGCGGTGTTTGGTCATGATTATTTGGGTTGTCGGGGTTGACCACTTCCTGGCCGAGCAGTACCTTCACAATTCCTTCGCACCCAAACCAAGCGGCATATGAGAGAGGAATTCGGCCATAATTTTCAGGCTTGTGAGGGCTGACCTCTTGTCTCCCGAGTGTTTGGAGAACAGAAAAAAGTCATTTAACGGCAAATCACGGTCCGACTCGAAGAGGCCAAACCAACCTCCCGGTCGAAAAACGGTTGATGTTGCAAAATCGATATGTGGCTTGTCCTCTCAAATACCAAGCTATAACCGTATGAGGAAATACCCTACTAAAAGATGGCACTTTATATAGTAATGGCCCAAAAACGGTAACAAGAACGAACCGGGATGTCGTTTCTTGGGGGGTTGCCGGGTTCTTTGGGAGCACCACCACCGGAGGAGTGTCTAGTTCCGGTCGAGGTTGATTGCACCATAGTTTCTCACGGGGCAAAAAGGTATAGAAATCCAGATACTACTGTTAGCCTTGATTCCGACTCCAAGACATAGCCTCGTTGATTATGGGCAACCAATCAAGCAACCATGCTCCCATTTTAACCAGACTAATCCGTTACCTTGCGTCGTAGATTCTTTCTCACGATCAAAGTTACTGAATGCGCAACTCTAGCTCATGTGCCATAATCGTTAGTGTTCCTCGATAGTTAAGTAGAGAGCACTGGCGTTACCAGCAAGTGGGGCCCGAATCACCCCATCACTAATTATGCATGTTCTACAGAGTATTGTACAAGCACGTTCTGATATAGAATCTTTTAGGTAGCTCTCTGAAGTCAGCTTAGACCGTGGTAGAAACTGCTAGAGCATAAATGGTTCACCGCATCTATCGTCACAACAAAAGATTTCGACTGTGGATTCTGGTGGTTAGCTTGGCAATCCCTCACCTCGATCCGAGAGACCTGCTCAAGGAGGCCCGCTCGATAACAGGTGTTTCCCTCGTTGGTGCGAAGCCTAGCCTTGGGGAAACGCAAAGAAATAGTGCGAGCGTTGGTAACGCATACTTAAGGGAAATATTAATTCCCGGGGGCTTCCTACGCCCTAATAACCTGGTCTTTAACCACCGAGGAGAAGGGAGGCGCTCCCACATCCTCCTTCAGGTTGATACGGTAGTCGAGAATTCCAATATATGGCTCTCCGCATTTTGAGTTTTTATCCTGCCGGCTACTGGACTCCTCCAATGTAAATAAACCGCGACACAGGCGCACCGCACCGCCGCGCCCCGGGATTGGGGACGTTTCCCATGCTGAACGTCCCCTGGAACTTAAAGGCCGTTTTCTGATGGCAAATTTCGAGTCATTCGATCCACTTTACGGTTCTAAGGCACTTGAGCCATAGGTTCAATATTCCGTGGACCACAGCTCAGAGTGGCTTTCAACGTTAGTATTTAAAGGCAATTAGGCATTGCATGCATACTACCGTGAAAAAAAATTGATTTGCTATCTCCATCAGTCTCCAATATCCCTGTAAATCGCGACATCAGCCCACAATAAGTTTAGATAGGCAAGTTCACGAAATCCCGAAAGCAAGTCAATTTAATGAGATCCAACACTGACAAAGGACTTAGGCTATCGTGTTAACAAAGTGTCAATCCTTCTCAAGAACTTGTCTCTGGATCACGGGATTAGCGAGCTGACCGAGAGTAGCATAGTGCTCGCCCACCCATACTCAAGCACGCACGAGGCTATGAAAAGCGCACTTTCTGCAGATGGGTAGTCTACCGTGCTCGAGTGCGCTGTGGCATGATAGCTCGTTGATCGGACCTCTCTGCGCTCCGTGGGTGGAAAGTGGGTTGGCTCCAGTGGCGGAGTTGTGAAAGAGAGGTTTCCGGAGTCGGTAAGTACTGTTATGGATAAATTTTGTTTTTGCTTTTTTTCCATATTTTTAACTAGTTTCGCAAACCTTTAGCTTAGCATCACAATAATTTTAGTTAGCTTTTTACTCAGAAGGGGGAATCATACATTGGTTGTATTTACTAGGAGCTGAATAGGTCATGTTTTCAATAGGAGAAGGGTTGCTAGGCTTGGCGGACAGGGGGTGGAAGTTTAGTCTATATAGTCGCGGTTTTCTTCTTCTATTTTTTTTTTTTCTTTCCTTTCTACGACCACCACCACCACCACCACCACCACCACCACCACCACCGCATTTCAACGGAGGAACAAGGAAAGTGGGGAAACGGTTTTGAATTTGTGTCTTGTGGCTAGATAGTCGAACAACCAGGATAGGTTGGATTTTTTTCTGAGGTTTTCTTTTCTTGAGGTTGTCTTGCGCGAAGAGGTTGATAGCTAGCTTGGAGATTGAAGGTGATTGGAATTGCAAGGCATTTTCTTATGGTTCGAAGGTTTTGTCGGAAATAGTTGGTGATCAGAAGGCTTTCATTCTGTGAAGCAGATATACCATTCCGCAAATTTTTGTTTTTCAGTACGGTACCGTACCGGTACAAGTACGAATAGTACACCATTATTCCATCCCTTCCATGTCGTGAGACCACTCAATCAACGATACCGGTATGATACCTATCACACCATATCTGAAACTCAAGATCTATCATACGAGTAATTGTTCGAATGGCGCTTGGTTTACTACCCTTCTACTGAGTGTCATACAGAGGGAATATCAACTGCATCGGCCAGCATCGGACAACAACCTGTTAGTCTAGGTCTGGCCGGCCTAACTTATGGCACTTAGTACCGTGTGATCGAACAGGTCTACCGGTGGGAAGAGGTTCTGTGTGGCGCACACTAGACCACCCGCGGGGATGATTTTCCACACTGCAAAGAGAAAATCAGTGAAGAATGAGCTAATTTACTAACTTGAGACAATGGAGATCTGCCGTTTAGTTGACTCCCTGATCCATTAGACTGCCAAGGAATTCCTGCTCGGGGGTTTGGAGTGGCCACGGGTCCGTGGTCAGAACTCTCGCTGCAGGAAGTCCCCCTCCGGTGCTGGGAACGCCATGGTACGGTACTGTACTCGAATCCTCGCCGAGTGCCAGCACGGCGCTTTCGCGCATGATAAGCCGAGCTCGAGCTCCGAGAGCCAAATGACTCCCTGCATCCTACTCGATTACCGGTACAGTATCATAAAGGCTTTCCCCCTTCTCTCCTCTTCACCCCGCTCCTCATTGGTAAAGGGCACACAATTACATAGTTTTGAGGGCTCCCTTGATTCATCAATCACTGAGGTAACTTACTGGCAAAGCAGCCCTTCCATCGCGGTTATGGATGGGCACTGTCCAGGGGAGCTGCATACTAGTGCTTGTGGCACCTACCTCTACCGCACTCAGGGCCCTCTCTCTCGATCAGAATCGTTCTCACCCCGACGCAGTAAAGCCACCCCATGATCCGCTCTAACTTGCCAGATTTGTTGGCTATTCACCGTAATCCAATTGGCAAGTTGCATGTAATGCACAGTGTGATCGATTGCCAAATAACCCTTGAATATAATTCCCTAGATTTCTTACTCACGGTACGTTCTCTACCTATCATAAAAAGATTGTTTTCCCATGAGCTTACAAACACACCACATCACTCGGTACAGTACTACAGCTGCTACTGTAGTGCCCCTATACCTCATTAACCTACCAGGCACTAGTGATTGGTGCTACCACACCATCGATATCGCCCTATGTTAGACTACGGTACTCGTACTTGATATCGTATCATTTCAGAAAAAGCCGGATGAGCCTAGTGAGGGTAGCCTGATCTCCTCTCAGTGCTTGCTTAAAATGTGGCGATCCGGGAGCCCACCGTACTCGCCTTCTCGTTGCCTCTCTTGTCCTTAGTCCCAATCCGAATGATACGGGAGGGTTCCGAGCAGGATTGGGTATCGTACTCGTAGTGAGCAATCCGGATGGGTCGGCGCTCTCCATTCAAGTCAGATGCGATATCTCCTCCGAGGGGGGCAGTGATGCTGGTCGCCCTATCGTTCTCGGCACCCCATAAAATCGTACGGTGGTCTATCACGAGCCGTCTGTGCGTGCATAACCAAGAAGTAGGTACGGCATTTGGCCAAAGATTTTGCAAAAACTACTCGAGTGCACGGGACTTGATTGAGTGATTGACTTCCCTTTTGATCATACATTTATCTGTTTTAAACATCACCGCCACAGGTTCATTCGATAAGCATCGGCTTTGATAAGGTGCTGTTTCCGCCCGGCTAGAAGCCCACAGACGAGACAAACTAAGTCTGCACGGTACCGGGGGGGGCATTGCTCTAGTCTTATCATTATCGTTTTTCCTCTCGGGCCACATTATTCCTTTGCCTTCTTTGAGCAAGACGATCTTCCGAGCGCGTCTCCGGAAGTGGAAACGGGTATGAAATGAGTAAGTACGGTACTCGAGATAATACGACCGCTGAGAGTGCGAAGTGATGAGGGTGATAAGATGCAAATACCTGTAGGCCACCCGAGAGGTCACTCCTAGGAGAGAGAGGTGTGAGTGTTTTGGGGATTTAGGAGCGAATGAGTAGCCTGACAGAGATATTGATAGATTGATAGATATGAGTCCAAGGCCCGACAAAAAGTTAGACCATGGAACAACTACTGTATTTGGGGTTAACAAGCCAGATATATCCCTACCAGTTCCGGTTAATCGGTCTCCACGGCCTACGTACTCGTACACCTGCCGAAAGACGATTTGGTAATTAGGTGACAGGGTTGCCAACTCCGGTGCTTCACTCACTCCCTCTTTCTTCCCTTGCTTCCCACTCGAGAGAGCAGAAACCGAAAAGCAGACTAGGTGTGAAAATTCTCAGTTCAACGCAAAAGAGGGAATCGATGGGCATTTCGCTCCCCCCCCCCCACTATACCAAAACCGGCATCCGGGTTAGTTCTGAGTGTTGGATCGTACGATTGGGGTTCGGGTTTCAAGCTTGCCGTACCGTACTCCTCGAACTCGGGTACACTGTGCCCGAGCATTCCTTATTAAAGTCACCAGGCGAGCAATTGCAGGTACGAGTACCGGTGGTTTATGAAGGGTGAGTTATGAGAGTGTGGGAATGAAAGGGGAGGGAAGGGAAGGGAAACGAATCGGCTGAGAATCCGTCATAAGACCGACAGCAGACAGACAGACTAGGCTGTGCAGTGGTCCGGGGGGTAGCCATGTTTTTCTTGTTTATTTATTTATCGGCCGGGGGTATGCTACTCGTAGTCTACGGCTAGGTGCGATATCCTAGTGCACACACCCCGCTATCCCGGGTCTCGGCAATCCGGATATCTCAGTGTCCTGCGCAAGCCTCTTTTGAGTTCTAAATTTCCCTATGCCACAACCGGGCCTGTTGTCCCGGGACACCCGCTATACTGGAGAGATTCTTGGATCATGGAGGTCCGAGATACGGTAATGGGATGCGTCTATTATACTCGAGTAGAAGTGGATACCGATACTCTACGGCAGAGTACCCGAGTATGTAGGAACATTGGAGAACCGCGACCCCGTCAGTGGATTTCGGATTTCCAGACTATCTGCCCGTTTTAGTTCGCCGCCGGGGAGTGAGTGAGTGAGTGAGTGGGTTGAAGCTCACGGTGTGCTCCTAAGAATGGATTGAGTTACGGTACTCGAGTAGGTTGAATAGGAATCAGTGGGGGGGTTATTGGCCTGATCATCTCCATTCTTTCATTCTTCCTTATTCCCATCTCCCTATGGCAATGCGACTTACTCGAGTATCCCCGCGTGTCGTATCGCGAGGTTTTTTTTTTTTTTTTTTTTTGATGGGGGTAAAGGATCGGCGGGTTTATGATACAGTACAAGTACTAGGGTTATTCAAAGTTAAAAAGATGACTTTTCAGGAATGAGTAAACAGCGAAAGCTGCATTAGGTTACTCTAAGCTGTTAGCCAATAGTATCCACATGTCCGGGCAAAGCATATTTGAATGCAGCAAGGCGCTTACTAAGTAAGTGGGGTCAAGCGTACCGGTTAAAACAAAAACTCTGTGTTGGCTAACAAGCCGGAAGTACGAAGTACGAAGTACAGTACAAGTACGAAAGGAGGTTTTTGCTAGAGAAACTAGTTAATTGTTCCTAAAGTATGCTAAAAAATTTTCTTCCTGCTCCACGTACTCGAGTATTGTTATTGAGTTTTGATTGCCAGTTACTGACTTCTTGACCTCGGCAGCTACGAAAAAAATTATCGCAAAGTATGGTAAACTACGGGAATGGCACGTTAACTGTTTTTGCGTGTGCAAAGTTTGCATGAAACAGCAAAGTATGATACCCATATGATATGCTGAGATTTTTCCACCTTCTCAACTTTAAATATCCCTAGGTGCTAGTACCGGTACTCGCTCCTTCACCAAGGGGGGACGGGGGAGGGCACCGGTGTTAGAGCTGTAAAAATGATACCGTATGATATAACGAAACCGTCACGATCGAGGGAGGGCTCAAGGATATAAGACGTCGCTCGCAGCCTTAAATAAAAAATTAAAAAACTTCTGAGCGATTGAGGACTATGGCCTCTTTCCTTCTCCCCCTTACCGGCACTTTGAAGCTCTAATCTACTGCGGAGCGCTCGAGTGAGAGATGGAAGGGAAAAAAGAAAAAGGGGTCAGAAATCCAATGATGGTGTTGGTAGGAAGGTAACATAACATACCGGCACTCCTGCCCCTCATACGATACCGGCAACAACAAGGACAAAGGAAACGATCATCGACGTTCACGACGCAGAAGCGGATGAGAGAAGGGCAAAGGTGGAAGGAAGATTACCCCCAGCCAACTAGACATGTTTCCGGTGTTTCTTTTCTCGCATCTCGCATGTGCAAAGAGGCTGGTTGGATGGAGCGGACGTTCCTCAAGATGCAAGGGAAAGCCGAATTGGGATTAGCGTCGAGTGGCTTCAACGTTGAATCATAGGTCGGAAGGAAAAGCCGGGGCTTTAACGTGTATGGCTTCGCGTAACGGATGCGGAGGACGAACGAACCCTTGCTTGACTCCTGATGCCTTGCACGAGTGGAGAGGAAGAGAATATGCGCGGCATCGCCGAGAGTAGCAACCGTGCCGGTACCAAGTATTTGTGGTCCCCCTACCCTGCTCTGCGGGAACGGACCCATATGTGCACATTGCACTCTTTTCTGACATGGAATTTGGAAAATACCGGTACTGCCATGTATCACAGCCAAGTTCAAATCGCAGCAGGTATTTAGACCACTCTGGAAGAAGAAAAGTTAATATACGAAAAATGGGAAGAAGGGGGAAAGAGGCATCCTTGATTTTTTTTCCGTTTTTTTTTTTTTCCTTTTCTTTTCTATTCCACCATCTTTCCGTTATGGGGGTTTGTTGGGGGTTGAGCTATGTGGGATGGTGCTTTTTGCAAACAATTCCTGTTTTTCTCACTCCCCCTACCTCCCCTCACCCTCCCTTCCTCCCTTACAAAAATAATGATACATGACGCCTCTCCACACTTGGTTTATCATCCATCTTTCCCAAAGCAATTGGGTTTGGAAGGTTAAAAGGAAAGAAAAGAAAAGAAAGAAAAAAAGAAGAGAGGAGGAGGGAGATGGGGAAAAAGAGAGGAAAGGAAAACGGTTCGTATGTAAAGCATCCCGTCTAACGTAGTTTACGGCACTCTAAGTGATTATTACCCCATAACTTATCTAATAGCACACGCACCCCGTCCCTACTATGATATTACGAACTCGCGTTGGCATCACAGATCATGAGCCACACCCAGCATTCATAGCTTACAGTATCACTCATTCACCCACACAAACATTTCGGAGAGAGAGTATCATGCCACTGACATCTCCACTGCTCTTGCCGTAGCGTCCGAGCCAACGGAACCGCTGATCTGAGCTGTCCGCGAAAGCTGCACAGAATGGGTCATCGTTTTGGAAGATCACTTAGCAGGATTTAATCGGACCTGGGCCAGACCTCCCTTAACGGCTCTTGTGGCCCTCAATGTCACAAGTGGCGGGGGGTTAAGTTGTTCCTTCCTCTTCCTCTTCCTCTTCCTCTTCGACCCTTCACCTTTTCTATACGCACCACACCCCTCCCCCACCATCACCATAACCATCCCCACCACCGCCGCCGCCACCTACCTGGTGTTTCCCCTTCAATAAATCTCCTCTTCTTGCACCACCTTTGGGAATTTTACTTCTAAATTTCTTTCTTAATTTCTTTAAGGGAAAACAACCTCCTCCTCCTCCTCCTCCTCATCATCATCATCATCATCATCTACTACTACTCTACTCACCATTGTCACCCCACTAGTCTCGTACCACTGCTACCGACATTCTTTTCCAGCCTTTTGTCATTGTCCCTGAAGGTTGGTTCCTCGCTGGAGATTGTTGATATCAGAGTTCTCAAGGGACGAGTGGAATTCCTCTCGAGATCCATCCACCTTTGGAAGCTATCACTGTCGTTGCTGGTGTTTGTTTGTTATTGATTGTTTCTATCCATTTATCTATCCATTGCTATTTCTACCCCTCTGCTACGACTGGCGACATCCCACGCTGCTCTCCCTGGTTGCCTTTAGATTCAACACTCGAGTAGGTTTCCTACTATTCCCCTACCGTCTAGTGTCTACCGGTTGTGAAGGCGGTGGAAAGAGAGAGAGGAGAGAAGGAGGAGAAGGACGGAAAAGGAAAGGAGGAAGGGGGAGAGGAGAGAGAGGTATTGGAGCTCGAAAAGCAGTATTTTCTCGCGGGTATCGGTACAGTGGTCTGACACGGCCAGCAAGCTGTCTTTACCAACCAACCCCGTTTCGGTTCAAACAGCTCAAAATCCTCGGTAGTTCTCAACAGATAGGAAATTTCCAGAAATATTTCGGAACACCCATCACCGCCTAATTTACCCCCAGTAAACATCCCCTCGGGATACTTTACCCAATCCGCTGGAGCTACTTTCCATAATAATCTTCCTTGACGTCGTCACGGCAGTCTGACAACCCTCCTCCTCCTCCCCGCTACCCACACGTCGACAACTGTAGCCTTATTCTCACAGGTAGCGACAACTTCCGGCGGTCAGGTATCCGAATTGACAGTTCAAAAAGTGCTCCGAGTCCTCTTTGAGGGCCTGAACCTACGCCAATATTTTCGTGAGGGAGTAAGAAAATACTTCATCTCAAAAAAAAAAAAAGACGAGATAAATTTCTTTCAAAAAAAAAAAATAATATCAAAAATGAGTGCTGCAACTGCAGCCCAGCAACAGTCCTCCTCATTGAATACGCCGGGATTCTTCGCATCGGCATTCATGGAGATGAACATATTCGAGCAATGCTTTAGCGCAGCTGCCCCGTCTGATCCAAAGAACAACGCATCTTCTTCGGGTTCTATAAATACTGTGTCCTCCTCTCCTCAAACGGCTGCTTCCACGCAAACCGCCCCCTCCTCCTCCAGAGGCTTAAATCCTATCACGCAAGCATCTGCATCTCACGTCCCTCCCCCATCACCAAAATCAGCCACCATGGACGGCTATAATCCCAGTGACTTTCCTCTCCCAACCATTTTTAGTGGGGTAGAGGCTACCGGACCCTCTCATGATGATATAGAACGAAGGTACGGGCAAAATCGATGGCCCGTACATCTGGACACCACTGCTGTTCCGCCCAGTGCAATACAGCCACACCTCTCGCCTCCTTACTCCCCCCGATCCCCGACTGACAGGTTCATGCCTCCAGTGGAAATGGACGACACCATGTCACCGCTGCACAACATGCTGGTAAACTATCCGACAGAGACTCGATCTGCACACGGGCAGATCACACCCCCAGAAGACCCACCACCGTTAACACAAAGACAGCAAGGCGGGAGAATGTTCGACGACAACGACGACAACGACTGCTTCAACGACGAGTACGCGATCATCGCTGACACAAACCATTCCTCCTCCTCCGGGAACCAGGAATTAGCAGAAGCAGGCGGCAACACCAGCAGCTGTGGGAGCGCAGGAGCAGCAGGCCGGTCTAGAACCCGCACGAACAATCGCGGCAGCACAAACCGGAGATCTAGGAGAACCGGTGTAGAAGATGACTCCGCGAAAGAAGCCAAGCGCCAGAAATTCCTTGAGCGGAACCGAATAGCAGCGAGCAAATGCCGGCGCAAGAAGAAGCAATGGACGCAAAACCTCGAGGACACGGCCCGGGAGGTGCAGGCGACATCGAAGCACCTGAACGGGGTAGTCGCGGCGCTGCGGGACCAGCTGCTGCACTTGAAGGGGGAGCTACTGAAACATAATGGCTGCTCATGCGAGCGCATCAAGCAGTACCTCATGAATGAAGCCACTAGAGTCGTGGAGGGATCTTCCGCTTCCGCCAGCGCTGGAAACGCGGCCGCCGCGGCAAACTCGAGCTCCAGCAACAACGCCTTCCACCAGGCCTCTCGACAGCGGCAAATGAGCCAAGGATCCGATCTGGGCTTCTCCGCACAATTCGATGAGTTGTCCGATACCAGCAGCGCTAGGTTCGCAATGGATTCACGATCACCGGAAGATACAGGCGTTGGCATGCCAATGTGACGATAAATCAATGATCGATTTTGGAGGTTTTTCTTTTCTTTTTTTCCGATGATGATTTACCTGTTTTATCCCACCCCCCCCACCCCTGGCTACGTATCATTGCACTACTGTATTGGGCGTTACTTGGTGTTTTCCCATACTCTAATTACTTACTTGTACTTTTTCTCTCAACATAACATTGCCTTTCTTTATCCTTATTTTCTTAGTCTTTCCTCCGATGGCACACACCCCCTCCCTCATCATACATATTTCTCCCTTGCACAAATCTCAGCGGGGACGGGGGTTCGGAGGGGGCGATTCGTTACAAAAAGGGATTTTTTCTCCCCCCTCAGAATCCTATTTGTTTGGTCGAGTGCTTACTTTGTGTACAATTTTTTTTTTTAAATCTTTTTCATCGGTTTCTCGATTTGATCTTTTGGCATTTTTTTCCCGTGACCCCGAACGCAATTGAAGTTACCGTGGTGATGCATGTAGCGAACGCAACAAACAGAACGGGGAAAAAAATATCATCGAAGGAAGGAAGGGAGAGGAAAAAAATATTGGGGGAAAAAAGGGGTTTCCTATCACCCCCATTTTCCATTTCTGGTGTGGTGCATTGGGTGGTTGGCTTTTGTGATTTACATTTCATTTCATTTTTTTCCTTTTCACCTTTTTCGCTGAAAGGTTTTATCCGATTTCCTCCTTGTAAAGCTCCTTATAAAGTCTCCCGTCCACTGAAGTTTGGAAATGGAGAGAGCAACTTGTGGGTGGGGGCTCATGAGCGCTCTAAAGAGTAATGTTTTATCATGGTGGATAGGCATGATAACTTGCTCGCTTGTCCTACTCTGCTCTGCACCGCTCTCCAGAGCTGATGGGGTAGAAGTGAAGAAAAATGAAAAGGTTCTTCCAATTGGAGCCCGGAAGGGATCTTGGACCTAGGATATCATAATATTATGATACCAGTAATTTGTGAACACCGCTGCTACAGTACAGTACTCGTACCGTATTGCATCTGGCCAAAATATCGGCCAAGCCCCAAGATTTTTGTGATAAGCGATGGCAGTCGCGTTTTCACAAAGGTGAGAAGATCACGTGTAGAGGTAGTCTTGGCAAATTCTCTAAAATCTGAACAGATTTGAAAGGTTCAAAGATGTAGAAATTTGTAACTTATACGTAAACTGAAAAAACCCCTCCCCACACGGATCCACCTGCAACCACGCCCCACAAACAAAATGTGTCCTTTTCTTTTTTCCCATGGGAGGACCATCACCGAGCGAGCCAGATTGCCATGTAGACTACAATTACTCGTACTGTAAAGCGTTACGAGGAGGAGGGCCAAGTCTCTGGAATTGGAGAATCTCGCCCACTACCTGTACTGTACATGTTGGGAAGTTCCAAAAATCTATGTTATCATACACAGCACACGTGACTTGGCTCCCCGCCAGGATGAGATGAAGATAACCGACTTATTACCGGAACTATACGCAATGTCTTGAATTTTAAATTTAGGCTACCAGTAGGGGAAAAGTGATGATTCTTCATTCGTGGGCGTCGTGTCAACAACAGGATAGCTCCACTCGGGTTGGCAATACTCCTTCAGCTTTGGTAGACAGTAGACTAGCGTGGTATGCACAATTTCACATCCGTGCTCGTAGAGTAAGGGTCATTCATCACAGGGACAGTATAGTAGAGTACCGGCACGGTACAGTACTGTACAGTATGATACATTCGTTGATTTCTGTGAATATGGGTTGTTTTTTTTTACTCAGCGTATAGGGCTGGGAACCGGATATGATAGGGCAGGGAAGTGGATCGGTTAAAAGAAGTTTATCTTGCCCACTGGGCTGATAATATCCTGCCAAACTGTCCCTGTCCATTTCAGGTACAATATCTAACATAATATTATTATATAATTGTCAATGTAACTTTGACCCCCTGATACAATCCAGACAAGAGTCGCGAAATTTCGAAGATATTTGATATGAAGGCAGGAAATGTGATCCACCCTGCCCACATGAATTTGATGTTCTCATCCGTCAGATTTCTGCTTTTGCCATATTTGTCGCAACCTTGGAGAGCGGATGCTGTTGTTCTTTTCTTTATCGCAACCTTAAGTGCGCCAGCAGGCGCCAGTGGTAAATAACTTCGAAAGCTGAAAGGGACAACACTCCTACCCTTTCAGTGGCAAATATTAGGCCTTTCTGCTTTTGGGTATTGCCTCGACTCTAGCTCTGGGAGATTGATCGATTCGGACAAGAGATACAAACTGTAAAAAAAAAAAAAAAAGTTACATGCCAAAACCGGATTACAATACCAGACATTCTGTGAAAAAAACCTAACCTGGGATTGCAGGGTAACCGTTATCAGTAACCGGACTGGATCCCAGCTTTTTCTTTCCGCTGGCGTAGGTGCGAACTCTCACAATTTGCGGAGAAAGGGAGAAGCTTCTTCTTTACTCTCTGAAACCTATCCGATGACCTGAGGAAAGGCAGACTTTCGAAATGAAAAACAAGGAAGTAATGAACTATCCACCCAGGATGATACCAATACTTCTCATAAACCTGTCTCCTACAAAGACCTAGTATCTGCTCTGGCGGGATTTATTCCTTGTAGGAAGCGTTAAAAGATAGTCTTCCTTTTCAAGATAATTTATTTATCCTTGTATCATATCCTTCACTGTATCTCCCATTCCCAAACACTCATTACCACTTCCGCTACTACAAGGTGATATTTCTCTCAGTGTGGTGCTGAGATCCCACAAGATTTCTTTTTGGGTTCTTTGATCTGTTTTTTTTTTTTCCTTTTATCACTGTGAGCAAGATGAATACAAACAGTGGAGCAGGTATCATAACACAAGCTATCATATCACACCTCAAGATTCAGCAACTAGAAAAATACAACAACCAAGTGTGGCTTCATTCTTTAAACCAATTCATAAAAAGCTCACAGGACAGTATGATTAGAACACTACCATGCTGACACTGACAAAAAGCCTTTTTTAGGGACAGGGCACACCTTGCTAATGGCTGACTGTCCCAAATGGCGTGACCACTACAGTACCTAGTATTTTCCACATGCCTAACAGAAGTAATCCCATATCACCTCCTGTTATCCTGGTTTTCAGTGAGGCTGGGAGATCCAAGATTAGCCCCTTTGGAAACCAAAATGGTTCTCACCCTTTTCATAATTGTTAATAAATCAATAACTGATTCGTCCTTAAAACCTGAGATGATTGATTAAGACTCTTTGTAGAACTACACAATATTCACGAGGCATAGGGCAGATGTTTTCGTGCAAGCCAGCGATTATTTTGTGGGTTAACCTAAATTAACTGTGCGAAAACCTTTACCCGAGTACAGTACAGTACACGACACGGTATCCGCAGAATCGCACCCGTTCCAACAGACTATGCCAAGTTTATTGTCTACTTATCATACAACGAGTAAAACAATTCCAAAGCCGACCCCGCCAATTATTCTTCCCAAACCGCCCGATCGACCCCGGTACCAACTCTCCTGTCAATGATATCCCTGACCTTCTCCACGAGTCCAATCTTGCCGTTCCTGTCCTCGACGAGGTATGGGATGATATCATCTGGGAGCATCTTCCGCTCCTGAATCAACTGGCGTACCTCCGCCTCGGACGGTAGGCCAATTTTCGCGTGCGGGTACTGCTTGTAATCGACGAAGCCGGCGTCGGATTCATCGCGGAGGAGCTGCAAGCGAGGTCTGTCCCCTTCCTCAACCGTGAAGTAAGGGGCTGTAACGCTCTCGTCCGAGGATTTTAGAGTCGGGGGATCCCATTTGGGGTCCGACGTCTTGGAGAGGAGCAGTGCATCAACGCCTTCCACAAAGTCCTTCCCTTCCAAAAATTTCGTTGCCATGTGCAGCTCTCGCTGGAAGGTCTCTGAGATGGTCCATTCCTTGCCCGCGCGTAATTGGCGGAGCGTGACGCGGACCGAGGTTGGGGAGCGGGACTTTATTGTCTCGAACGTCTCGCGCGCCCAATCGGAGTCTTCTCGAGTCAGTGCTTCGAGGATCTTTTCGATTGTGTTGAACCTGAAACATCTGTGGGAGGTTGAGGTGGGGCCGGAGGTTAGTTCCAAAGGGTTGCGACATACCGGTACAACAATAGGGAGGAGAAGGGAGGAGAAGGGAGGGGGTGGCGCTTCTCAAATAATCCTTACCGGTCGATTGCCTTCCGGATTTCACCGGATAGCTGAATGGGTGTATCTTCTGGCAAACCAGTGACAAACTCCTCAATTGTGCTATCAACAATTTCCCAACGCTCTTTGAGGGGTTGATAGTCGCCAAAAACAAGCTCTGCCAGTCTCGCCTCCAGGTCCGGTAGACTGGTGGAGTGAATGTAGTGAGTCGCGAGACCAGAGTAACTGCACCACCGTCAGTGATGTGATTCCCCCTCGCTACTAGATGTGAAGAAAAAACCAAAAGCTGGAGGACAAGCGGGACACAAAATCAAGAAATTGTGAAAAAGACATACAAAGCCTGAACACCCTTTAATCCCTCGCTCGTCAAAGCAAGATAAGTCCCGATCTCCCCATCAAGTCTTGGCAAGAAGAACGAGCCTCCGACGTCGGGGAAGAATCCAATCTTTGTCTCGGGCATAGCGAATAAAGTATTCTCCGTGGCGATTCGGAATGGGGCATGAATGCTCAATCCAACTCCTCCGCCCATTGTGATCCCGTCCATGAACGCAACATACGGCTTAGGATAGGTAGCAACAAGGTGGTCGAGCCTGTATTCCAATTCAAAGTACCTTACCGCCTTCTGAACGCCAATCGGCCCTTCGCCCTTAATGGACTCCACAAGTGCCGCTACATCCCCCCCAGAACATAGGGCCCTTCCAGCGCCCTTGAGGATTATTATGTTTGCCATTTGTGATTTTTCCCATTCCTGCCATTAACCGTCAGTTCCAGGCGCCCCGACATGGGTTTGAATTGGGAGCAAGTACTCGTAACCGGGGAACAATCTTTCGTGCCATTGAGCCATTCAGAGCGTTCAGAGACCCGGGTCGATTAAGTTCGATCGTGCGAACTCCATATGTTGAACCGAAAAGTACGTCATGGGGCGCATCCCCCTCTTGTTCCTTTATCACTAGAGAAGAGGCAAACATCTAGAACTACCGAATTAGCGACCCTCTAGGGTAAGTTGGTTTTAATTGGTTCTGTTTTGTCTCATAGTACCTTTTGTTGAGAGGAAAAGCCAGGTCTCAAGATCTTTGCGCGGAGAGGCATCGTCCACGGTTTCGAGTGGAAGAGACCTAGGGTAACTCTCGTGCAGAGCGAAGGCTTTAACACCATGGGTATCATAGAAGAGAGCGTAGGGAAGATAGGGCGAGGTACCTGGAGGGTATTTGTGTTCGTTTTTTGGAGTATCGGGTAAGAGAGTGGGGTGCACTGAGATCCGCAGCGGGAATAGAAGTCTGCCTCGGCATCCCTTTAGCGCGTTTGCGGCTGCTGTCCATGTTGGATGGGCAAGCGTGAGACCTCAACGCTGATTGACAAGGAACAGGGTTCAAATTTTAGCAGTGAGATCATAAAATTGGGAGCAAATTCTGCTACGGCCAACAGAATTATTGGTTCGAACAAACATGTGTGATGATATTTATTTATGCTACACATTTACGACCGTTCCTTTCGGAACCACTCCAATGCTTCCCTCTCGATCACGATTCTTCCCATCTCTAGCTATATCCCAATGCCGCCGTCAGTAATAGTCCGGAGAAGTACCCCCATGATCAAACGAGGGCCAGAAGGAATTCATATAGGAGAAACTTACAAGATCCTTGACATCTACCTCCTCCTTCGTCAGCACCAATCCCTCAGACCCCAACCCCTCCATAGCACCCATGAAATTCGGTCTCTCCTCATTCACTATAAACAAGCTCCTCGAGTTCTCATTGCCCCACCCATTCTTCTTAATAATGGAATTGGCCAACCCCGGATCATTAGCTTGAATCTCGAGCGCATCCTCAACGACAATCAACTGCCCACGCCGATACCGATAACTGAATGCGGTTCTCCAAGCCAAATTGTACATCTTCTTGGGTAGATCCGTAGAAAAGTCTCGAGGTTTGGGGCCGTGGGCTACACCTCCTCCTCGAAGCATAGGTGATTTTTTGTCTCCGAGGCGAGCCCTACCACTTCCTTTCTGTGGACGGATCTTGCGCCCACTGCCATGCACATCTCCACGCCACTTTGTATTTGCGTTTCCGGAACGAGCAGCATCGCCTTCATATGTTATAGCTCTATGTAGGATATCCCGGCGTGTTGGGAGATGCAGGAAGGTTGTGGGGAAGGATTGGAAACGCAGAGGCTCGAGCGTAGGGAATCGATAGATAGTAGCGAGGACGGTGGGCGCTGATGAATATTAGTAAAGGAATAAGAAATTGCTGGGAGATCACACGTTTCCTAATTGCGAAGGGTATCTCCGCCGGCGGCTCCGGGGGAAGAACCCGTACAGCGGGAGAGGTAGGTGATACACCTGAACCCTCCACCTCAGTAGCCATGAGCCTTGAACACCAATGAACAAGTGACAGCTGCCGATCGTTAGAGCTGAGGTGGCGGGGGGAATTCCTTTCTAGCGACTAGGAATAGCTACCCTTAATATATCCTCCAGAGTTCCAACCCTCTTTCCACCTAACAGGCCAGTCCTAGCGAAAGCCGTTCTCGAGGTCATTGCGTTGTTGTTGTCACCGGGGGTGATGGTGGGGGTTTGCAGATGGATTGATCAGGGGAGGTTGCGATGGAAACTTTTTTTCTCCGGGATCTTCATCCGATCTCCACGCCGATCCACAAAACAACCCCCCACCACACCTCCGCAAAGTGTCGCAAGGTCCCTGAGACAACCACTGGAAGGATGTCTACCAGGACACTATCGGCGAGCTCGTCAACAAGGGCCTTAGGCGTACCCTGTTTCAATGTTCTTCGACCAATTACCCTTCGGGGTCTCCGAACTAAGGGTATTGCGAGCGAGAGAGGTGCTAGGGGTGTCGAGGGTGTCGAGAGTGCTGAAGGAATCAAGGGAGGCGGGCCCAGGATGAGGACTATCGAGAGAATGCCGTTCCAGACATACCAGCTCGCCCTGGATATAATCAACAAGGACCGGCAGGAAATGCTCAAAAGAATCAGCGAAGAGAGGGAAACAATGAAGAAATTGATCAAGTATAAAGGACTCACGCACAAAGATCGGCGAATCATCTCCATGAAGCAACAAATTGAGAAATGGCAGCTATACGCTGACGCGAACAACCCGCGGGTAAAATATAATTTTGATTGTGGGAAAAGTAGGTTGCGACGTTATCTCCTCTTTGAAGTGTGAGTCCTAACCCAGTGTTTGTAGTTGGGATGAACAAGCCGATATACCTACATCTTCTCGACAAGAAATGGAGGCAGCGGAATCGACCGATCCTTATGCAAAGACTTGAGACCATGCATGTTATTCCAGATGTTCTCCCAGACATTAACCCTATTGTCGATGTGCGGGTGCACTTCAAAGGTAGAAAGGTCCAGCCTGGACTGGTGTTGGATTCTTTGATGGTGGAGGAGTGCCCTACCGTCAGAGTTATTCCCTTTAAGAATGAAGAAATGCTTTGTACTATTGCAGTGGTAGATCCCGGTAATATCATTCCCTCGGCTTGTATTACTAGTGCAACCCGGGCTAACAACCCTCTAGATGTTCCGGATCCAAAGAAGGACAGGTTTAGGTACCGGTGCCATTGGATTGTGTGAGTGTAAACGTTTCGTCCGTCATCAGACGCATACTAACACATTCAGTTCCAACATCCCCATATCCCCAATGCAAACCACCGCTGTTGGATATTCGGCCAAACCTGCGGACACACTTGTTCCATATCTCCCGCCCCATGCCCAGAAAGGAGCTCCATATCACCGCTACGCCATGATAGTTTTCAAGCAGCCCGAAAAGATTGATGCAGCGGCTCTAGAAGGGAATATTGATAGAGACGACTTCACTATGAGAGGCTTTCAGAGCAAAAACAAACTATGTTCCATTGGAGCATTCATGTGGCGTGTAGAGTGGGATAGCCACACCAAGGAAATTATGCAGAAACATAACTTGCCCGGTTGGGATATTATGTATAAACGGAGTAAGGATGTGGTACCATCATAGAGGAAGAGGGCTTGTATATAACAGTTTAAATCATCTACATTATTATTTTTCCCCCAGAATAACACTGAACCGTCCATCTACGGTATCTATATTATCACACCAAATTCCAACCCACCATACAAGTACCAACGCCCAAGAAAGCGAAACTAATCAATCCTCAGTATCCTTCAAACCATTCTCAAAAAACTTTGGCATCGGCTTGAACCTAGCAATAACCTTCCCACGAATCAATGCGAGCGGTACAGGTCCGTAATGCCTGGAATCGTTCGAGAACGGCAAATTATCGCCGGTAGTCCAACAATGCCCCCGGGGAACCTAAAAACACATTGCAAAGCGCCCATTAGGCCCCCTCCCTCCCTACCTTGCCACCACCACCACCACCACCACCAAAATTCCAACCCTTCACACTCACCTTAACCATCTCATCCCCCTTCTCAGGATCAACAACGACCCAATCCCCCGGCATCCCTATAATCCTCTTACTAACATGCATCCCGGGCCCATCCACGGGGCGCACGTAACTGACCATGTCGCCTACGCCGATCCCGCGGCCGCGCGAGTACAGCTTCGATATCACGATCCAGTCCCCGGCGACGTTTATCGTCGGGAGCATGCTCGCACCCGTCGCGGCGCCGACGCAGTAAAAGTGTTCCCAGAAGAGGTGGATGAAGAAGAATGTCTGCCCAGCCCGGACCAGGGTTCGGAATTGCGCGCGGAGGAAGGGGGCCGAAGTGAAGCGTTGGAAGTGGGTGGTCATCCGGGGCGGCTGTTTTGGTGGTTGGTTGGTTGCTGATTGGTTGGCTCTTGATGAGGTGATGTGCTGTGGGAGGTGTCCTGGGTGAAGTTTCGATGTCACGTGGCGATTATTGATCTCTGGCTACGAGTTTCTTGATGCATCTTTTTTTCTTCCCTTTCCATTCTTTTTTCACTGGGTTAGGTCAGGGGAAGAAGAGAGGGGAGGGAAGATCTTGAAATCTCGCACGAAATCATTTGGCGCAGATTCGATTCTCCTCGTATCATACTCGAGCACAGTTACCTTATCTGATCACCTATATAAAACACCGTACTGTAATCTACATCCCCAAACAAGAAGTCCCGGGGCTATGATACGCATCGCATGTGTTCATTGGCCAACGGGTGTCATGGAAATGTTCATCTATCCCTCGCTTCCTGCCAAGGGTCCTTCGAACAAACAAGGCGAGAATCATGATACTTTAAGTTATAATACCTGAGCCGCAGGGGGAACAGGGTCTCCATATACTTCTAACCTTCCCATTCACCACAAATCACGCACAACACGAAATCCCCCAAAATCCAAAAGCTGTATCATAAACCACTCAAGACGAGGAGAAGTTAACCCTTACGACAAACACCAACACTCGTATGAATATCATACATAACTTTATTCTAATCACGATCAAGGTTCAAGACAGCTCCTCTCCCTTCCACTCACAGCAAGCAGGCAAGAAGCACCCGATAACAGGGATATGCAGGTAGGTAGGCAAAGTGTGATGCATTGCGGGGATTTGGCCAAGGGGGGTCGTCTTTCCCTGTTTTTTTTTTTTTTTTTTTTTGTGCTTGTGATACAAACTATGGCAGCTAGGAGGTAATTTACCGTACTCTAGTTTGGCGATGCAGGAGTTTCCCTTGCTCGTGGAAATTCGTATGGTAGACAGAAGTGGACTGTGCCGTACCTGGCAGGCAAGTTTCAGTTCACTGCTTGCCACTCCAGAGTTCTTGCCCCGTCGTCATGTCATTCCTCTCTATCATAACTTGTATGATAGGATACCCAGTAACCCAGACTATCGCTGCTTATGAAGAAGAAAAAACCCTGCCCACTCCAAGAGAAACAGAAACACTCATCCATCACCTTTCCCACCTTTCCACCAAGCCACTATACTTGTACGATACTGTTATAACTATGGCGGCATCGTAACCTAACAAATACCGCACGCTACCGTATGCGCTTATGCATCTCGCCGAGTGACCGCTAGTGTTTACTCTCCCTTTTTTTATATAGGCTCTGACAAAAAAAAAAAAAAACATGCCAATGCCCCGCTAGTTATGCCAACTTTTTTTTCTTTCTTTTCTTTTCCCCTCATCAAACAAGGTTGGAGTGGAAATTTGCCCCCGGGCCAATCGCTTATTATAATAGATTGATCTGCGGGTAGATTTCTGGTCGTGATTGGTTGCTAACTATATAACTGAGTTGATTGTCGCGATGGGCGGGATGGGTGTTTATCATGGCAACGGAGTACGTGTGTGGGTGTGTGTGGCTGGTGGTGGGTTATGCACTTACGGTCATTTATATTATACTTGGAGTTGCTGTGAAGACATTTGTGCAGGTTGTGAGTTATCTTATCATGCATCATAAGGAGGTTTTTCGCCATGGCGGGCAGGGTGTGGTGGGACAGGAACCATGTGTCCGTTGGATTTGCTTGCTTGCTCGTCAGGACTTCTACGAGTGGAGAGAAAAAAAGGATATCTTGTAGTCTATCGGACGGCTATGTCTGATTGAGACCAACGGTGCATACACACACACTCACACAAATCGTATTACAAAGGGTTACTCGAGAAGAAGAAATGCTGTGAGTTGCAAACTTGGGTGAGGGCCACACACACACTGTAACTCGAGTGCCGGTACTATAGTAGTCGTACTGGGGATAATGTGCAAGTGAGCCGGAGATAAAAAAAAAAAAAAAAGGAAAGGGAATCTCCTGTATGCTACTCACACTACTCACGATTAGCGGAGGAATTCGATTGATGATCGATAAATATAACTCGTTTTTTGTCATACCATACGAAAAGGAATGTCGACACGAAGTGATGGGCAAACTGCAGGGGAAGGCAGTGGGGACAAAGGGCTATCATAATAGAGGTACGGTGATGCCCGTCGCTGAGAAAAGGCTCTCCTCTTCCCCCCTCGCTGGCCCCTTACCCCACGGTGAATCGAGCAACTATGCCAGTGGTGTGTATTCGGGGGTAGCGTCCCATTGGCCCGTTATCTGAGAACTCGCAAACAGTCTCCGAATTTGAACCACGATACTCGCAGTACGAGTACCGTGCCGATCACAGAATGCATCGCTCCTATTGCTCACTCACAACTCCAGCCAATGGGACCCATCAGTACGCTATGCACTATCGGTACTCGAGCACGGTAGGGTGGAAGGGGGAGAGAGAGTCAAGGGACCGCATCGAGGTCTGGGAAACCGGGGATGGATGGGTGGGAGCCGTCATGATCAACGAGGCCTTGACAAGTTGTCGCAAGATGAGACATGAGACACATATCACATAACCATGCAACACGCTTTCCCTGATGTTTCGCCCCGAAGCCCAGGGTTTGGGAAAATCTGGCACACCCTGGGGTCCACCGACGTCATATCGGAATTACTTTATTTAAACAACATCCCTTCCCCTCCCTCCACCCCCTTTTTCCCCACGCACATCGCTCCAACACACGAAAAAAACAAAATAGTCAGGGCTCCTCACGCGCTTAGCCCTTCCCGTGAAAAAAAAAAAGGCTTGGGCTATCAAAAGTGAAGTGTGGCGTTCCCATATCACAAAAAACTGCAAAACTAACTCGAGCCGAGCTTTTTTATTACGTTTTGAGGCTTAATAGGATGACATCAAGTCAGCTCCCCTCTCTCTCCCTTTCCCCGCACTTTGGAAAAACTTCCTTTCTTGTATGATAGATCTCCATCTGCTGAGCGACCACTTGTTTTTTTTTTTTTGTCCCTTGCCTTGATCCGGGGACTAAAACGTGAGGTTCGAAGAAGCGATCAGACACCCAATTCCACGCCCCTTCAGTCGAAACATTTCAACTTGATTCAGAAGACTTCTTGAAGTTCGAAAAGCATCTCTCTCCCACCAATAAGGCATACCAGTAACGGAAAAGGTTGTTTGCTATTAACCATGTCTAGTAAGTCTCACACTTCAATGGGGGAGTAGTTTGATATCAAAAGTTAGTCCCTTCACAAGTTGCCGGAGCAAGACCTACTGGTATCATGAGCCATCAGACCCACAAAGGGAGGGGTAGAGAAAAAAGTTTGCGTAATATAGTAAAAATTAAAGCAGAAAAAACGTCACAATGGAGGAAAACAGACCTTTCTAACCTTGTTTGCCCGTACCAGACAAGCACTTCGTCAACGATCCTGTCCATCTCTTGAATACAGCCCTTCATTCGGCCCCACTAACGAATCCATCCCTGGCCCTCGATGAGGAGAACAAAATCGTCTATTGCAAGCCTCGTCCGGAATCCCACCCGGGTCAAGTAGCAGTCATCTCGGGTGGAGGAGCGGGCCACGAGCCCAGCTTCGTGTCGTAAGTTTTTTGTTTTCCCATAATAATTCGTACCCTTTTGGCTATTTCTCTCAACAGGTACCATTCCCCGTCCATAGGCAAGGGGGAGATGGAAGGGAAAAAAAACAAAAATAATAATACCTGCATTATATCACGAAAATTGCATTGATCTAGAAAAGGAGTTTTTAATTGCTGACGTCTTCTCGACAATCCCATCATCAGTTTCGTCGGAGATGGCGTCCTCCGAGCCGCCGTTTCTGGCTCAATTTTTGCCTCACCGTCAGTGAAACAGATCTATAGCTGCATCACCCGCAGGGTAGACCCAAACTCTGGCGTCCTCCTTATCGTGATGAATTACACCGGGGACATCCTGCACTTTGGTCTCGCTAGTGAGAAAGCGAAGGCCGCTGGTATAAATGTAGACATGGTGGTGGTTGCCGACGACGTTGGCGTCGGCCGGGAGAAGAACGGGAAAGTTGGCAGACGCGGAATTGCGGGAACTGTTCTTGTTCATAAGATCGTTGGAGCACTGGCTTCCTCTGCCGCGGGAGCTGCTTCCTTGAAGGAAGCTTCGGCTTTGGCTTCACTTGTTGCAGCTAATATTGTGTCTGTCGGTTCGTCACTCGCTCATGTGCATGTGCCTGGTCGAGTGGTAGCGTCCGACGGGGATGAGGAGGGGTCACTCAAGCCAGATGAGATAGAGATTGGTATGGGGATTCATAATGAGCAAGGATATAAGAGAGTGAAGATTCCCGAGCTTCCCGAGCTAGTGAGCATACTCTTAGGCCAGCTCTTGAGCAAAGAGGATAAGGATAGGAATTATCTTGAAGATGTGGAGAAGATTGAAGGTTGGGTTCTTATGCTCAACAATCTTGGTGGTGTAAGCCCCCTAGAGATGGGAGCAATAACTACGGAAGTCGCAAAGCAGCTCGGTGTGTTTATTCTGGGCACGGCACGTTAGCAGCTGTATACTGACTCGATTCTTTAGACTCAACTTACTCTATCAAGCCAAAGAGAATCTTTTCCGGCACTTTCATGACCTCCCTTAATGGAAATGGTTTCAGTATCAGCTTGCTCAGACTTGTCAACACAGGCCTTGGTAAGGCCAAGTCCATGCTAGGCCTCCTCGACGCGCCCCACCAGTCTCTCGGATGGTCCGCCCCAGTCAAGCAAGAAACCTGGGCCAGTAAGGACAAGCAAACTCAAAGCTCGGAGAGCGATGCAAAGGAAGAATCAATTCCACCCTCGGGACTGAAACGTGAGCAATTGATGTCCCAACCCCCCAGATTCTGGCCAAATTCTAACGCGACCCCCCCTCCCAGTGAACGTCAACCAATTCTGCTACACCCTCTCTAACGCCCTTAAAACACTTATAAAAGCGGAACCGGAGATCTCCCGCTACGATGAACTAGTCGGTGACGGCGACTGCGGTTCCGCCTTGAAAAAAGGCGCCGAAGCCATCCTTCAGCTAATCAGCGCCAACAAGATCAGTCCAGACGCTGTAATTACTGTCAGCGCGTTGGCAGAAGTAGTGGAGGCAAACATGGACGGAACTTCCGGCGCCATTTACTCGTAAGCCCACGCATTCATCACCAATTATCACTCGAAGAACTAATAATGAATGACAGCATCTTCCTAAACTCCCTCGCTAAAGCCCTCCGTGAGGCTGGAGAGGGCGAGGTGAACTTGGGGGTATGGGCCAAAGCGTCTATGACGGCGTTAGTCTCGCTGAGGAAGTACACCCCTGCGCAGCCCGGGGACAGGACGTTGGTGGATGCGCTGCAGCCATGCATTATTTCATTGGCTGAGGACGGGGACGTTGGTAAGGCGGCGGAAGCTGCGAGGGAGGGCGCAGAGAGCACGAGAGGGATGAAGGCGTCGCTTGGAAGGAGCGTCTATGTGGGTGAAGTGGGGGATACCCCAGATCCGGGGGCTGTTGGGATCGCGGTCCTTATGGAGGGATTGGCCGAGGCCGTTTGATGGTTTTTTGGGGGCGATTAGTGATGCGGGATACCTGGACTATAGGATTTGAACTGGAATTATTATCATCTAAATTGATTGGCTGTGGTTTTCAAGTGATCTCTGGGTTCCGCATGAATTATGAAGCGTGACTTCTAGCGTAGTAAGGTAGATGTTGAGGACCAGATACCTGTGGGAGTAGGCTAAAAAGGATAGTACAATAGGTTCATTGAATGCTCTGACGATCCTGAAAGTCAGGTGGGGATCCCCCGGGAATGGGGACTGTGATAACTGTCAGGAGCCCAGGCACGTGAGCGAGTTTCAAATCAAGTAACCTAGAAGTACAGTGCATCTCCTCTACATTCACAACGTTCGCAGCCGTATAATGGATGCATAACTGGTGCTGATCACGTATTTCAAAGTGGCCCCTTCCCACGCACGACTTTGATCAGTGATATCTCCTCTCCCAGAACCTTACAAAGTGAGTTCTCCCACGCCACCTCACTCAACAAGTATGATACTGTATCATACATCTATCCATCGACACATGCCCACATCACCAAAAATCACTACACTCACTAATCTACCGGCGAATTAGAATACTGTAATCAACTTACCGAGTGTGGTATGATACTTTGCCCTATCGATGGTCCTATCATACTCGAGTACCGTAATACACACATGCCGCTCAACCTAATTACCGTATGACACGATTCGCCCAATGCAGAAAGAAAGAAAGTCTTGGCTGTGAGCGAGGCTGAAACGATCTGTGCGTGCTGGGAAGGAGCTTATCTTGACGTGGTTGTCAGTGAGATAAGGGATCTGTGATAGTTAAGCGAGGGCAATAAATGTTCCCTCCAATCGGTGAACCGCATCTGAGACATTGGAAAACATTTGCTTACGTTACTGCTGTGCATTTAGAGCTTTTTTCGAGTCCTATTTGGGCTTGTTTTAAAGGGTCTGTGTTCTCAAGGTCTCAGAAACCTTAGCTAGAAAGGCGACCACTCAGCTCCCCAGGCTATACCCCCAGGTCCCTTGTCTTGGCCAACATCAAATTTTCCAAATCGACTGCAGGAAGGCTCTACTCATTCGAAATGGGTTCTCGAATCGAAGAGGATTTTGTGCCGGCGCTTTTGGTGGTTGATTTTCAGGAAGATTTTTGTCCGCCGGTTTGTTTCTCTCTCTCTCTCTTTTTTTTGCTATTCCAAGTGGGGTTAGCGCTGATCCTAGCGGTGATGATGATGATAGAATGGATCATTGGCTGTGCAGGGCGGTCGGGATATCGCACCCATCGTGAACGCATTGTTAGCGCTACCGTTCGCCTTAAAGGTCGCTACGAAGGATTGGCATCCAAGGAATCATGTCTCCTTCGCCTCGAATCATCCACCGCCCGATAACGTCCCGTTCGTATCGAATACTACAGTTTTCCACCCCGATGGTTCGGATACCGGTAGGCACTACACGACGCTCTTATGGCCAGATCACTGTGTGCAGAACACCCCTGGGGCAGAATTGGTTCCGGAGATAGACATCTCCCGCATCGACGCAGTGATAGAAAAGGGCCAGGACGCTCGGGTGGAGATGTACTCTGCCTTCACTGATCCATTCCACCTACCACCGTTCACGCCGGAGTCTACGAGTGTGTCTACTTCGGGCTTGCCTAAGATGCTGCACGAGAAGGGCATTACGGATGTGTTTGTTGTAGGGCTTGCACAAGATTTTTGTGTCAGGGCGAGTGCCATTGATGCGGCTAGGTTTGGGTATAGGACGTTTGTCGTGCGTGAAGGGACGAGGGCAGTTGTGCCGGGAACTGGATGGGAGAAGGCTGAGGAGGAGATGGCCGTTGCTGGGGTGAAGATTGTTGGGATTGAAGGGAAGGAGGTTGAGAGGGTTAAGGGGCGCGGGAAGGAGGGGATTGAATGATTTTTTCTTCTTTCTTTTTTTCTTTACGCTTCGTGGTCTTTACGCTTCGTGGGAAGGATGGTTTGGTTGCTGGGGTGAGAGGGCCTGCATCGGGGAAGCTCGCGCTTTTAAGGAAGGGGGAGGGTATCAACGACAAACGACATTATGACACACCCTTTAGAAATGTAGATGACACGTGGGATGGGAGAGCTTCTAAAGGGTATTTCTCTCCCTGACTTCTAGAGTTACCATAGGGGAGAATTGGGAAGGTATCATAGTCAAGGAATTTACCTCTATGGTTCCATATTTGTGTATAGTAGAATTGGTGCAATGTGATAGTTTTCACGCCTTCCCTCACATTAAAATTTCACAAAGTAACTCGCAATTCACGGCGGGGAGAGATGGGGTTTCGCATGTCGCAGTATCGCTGGAGATTAGGTGGAGCAGACCAGTCTCAATGGAGGTTCAAAGTGCGTGTCTCAACGCGTCGCGTTGCGCGAGGGACGAAAAACCACGGGGACTCCCTCCTCAGGTGAGTCTAACTGCGCGTTGAGCCACAAGCCTCCTCTTTTGGCCCGATTTTCCATTTTCGTCGTTACATTCCGGTGGTCGGGAAGAGGGATAGGGATAAGGAGAGGCACACTCTCTTATGCTCTAGCTGTCACCTCCTACCCTTTCCTCCCACCCTCTCCACCGCTCCATAATATATCATACTTCTCTGCGTCCTACAGAACCCCCCTCTCACGGCTTTCCATAGCCTTACCTTTAATAGACCATTTCCTTAGAACTAAACTCCTAGACAATCTCTCTGTTCTCTTTCATCGCTCGTGGTTTCCCCTCATCTTACGCGCTCTGCGGCTGGAACCATCGTTATCTTGGCTCAACCCTTCGCACTGTGAATCCGCTCAACGGAGTAGGGTGCGCCCCACACGAAACCCCAAATTTTGGCAGTACTCTTTTGCCGGCTGGAGATTTTAAATGACTTCAGCCATGGGGCCTACGCCGCCTGGGTCTTCAGTTGGTTTTCAGGGTGACAATGTTGGGCAATCATCCTCACGTTGTATGAGATGTACGCGTCCCGACGCACCGCCAGTTAGGCAGTAACAAAGGGAATCAGAGATGCTGACTACTCACAGTGAAAGTATCCTATGCGTTCGACGACAAGAATAAATCAAACTGTCTCGCGAGATGGCCGCACCTGATTACCACTAGGGTGGTTGAGCTGGATAAGGACACGGTGGTGGGAGCTGTGGAGTTCAAGACTTGCATATTGAGCATGATTTCTGCGAGGTTAGGATCATTACATCTATTGTGGGGATCGGAATGGCTGATTTGCGGCTCTTTCCCTCCTTTAGCCCTGAACTTGTAGCAACTCTTGGGCAGGATTATTCGGTCTACGCGTACGATTATTCCGAGGTTGGGGTTCCGTTGGTTGGTTGTGGCATGCTTTCGTGGGCGATGGCGACTGTCAACTCGAATAATCCCTCGACAAATGCTTCCATGATCACGGGACGTGTTGTGTCAAACAGCTTTGGGTTCTTCAGCAATGACGGAGTCAAGGAGACCTTGAATGTTAAATTAAAGCTTACACCTGTCAACACTTTTACGCAAGCGCAATTTGTCGAATCGGTGCATGCGTACAACGCCCTTTCGAAGGTAATACCTGGTGGGTTTGATGCATCTGCTTGGACGAATTACCTTAACGCAAACCCACATATATTAGCCCCCCCCGGAGGTTTAACATCAGCTACATCTAAGGTTTCTCATAAAGGCGCTACTCTTCAACCACCGCCATCGGGTATGGGAGATTGCAATCCTACTTCCGGGGAGGAAAATGGTGAACCTCCACAGAAGAAGGCTAAAACAGGGCCGGCTAAAGCGAGGAAACCTAGTAATGGTAATCGGAAGAAGAAGGTGGCTGCCACTGCGGCACCTGGAGCTTCTCTCGAGTCGATTCCAGAGATGCTTCCGTTGCCTCCAACCCCTCAGGTGAAGGAAGATCTATCACCTCCACCCCCTCCTTCACAGCCCTCTCCTACACCGACGCCACCTGAGCTTATTCAAACAATGCCAAACAACAACCCGGTGACGCCTATGCCGACGACCGCATTTTCCCCGGTGTATGCAAACTCACCTTCCCGAACTATTGACTCGAGGACAATGAGGTCGTCACCACCCACTCAGCTCGAGCCATCTCGAAATGAGATATCACCGACTCCTACGAGTCCCGTTCTGCCATCTCTTTGTCCAGATGTACCCTCACCGGATGGTCTGGAGCGGCGATTGAATGCTCTCTTCGAAGAGGAGGAAGAGGAGCTTAAGTCTCCGCCTGTAAGTCCCGAACAACCGATAACAGTGGAGACAACGCCGGAGGAGGGGAATCCGGTGGATAATCAGTCAATGAATTCATCCATGCTGGAGCTACCGAAGATCTCTATACCCACTTCTTTGCCCGACAATGTCAATATGAGTGCAGCTCCTTCACCCGATTCGACACGAGTAATTGCAAAGCCCAAGTCACAAAAGAGAAAATATCCTCGAAAACCCAAACGGTTGATGTCTGATGCAGCAGCATCCAGTGAATTGGGAGAAGAGAGGGAATCTGTCAAGAGATCCAGGAGTGAACGACCACAGCCTAAGCCTCGTACAGCTGCTCATGTCAAGGAGAGGATTGAAATGCAATTGGTTCAGGCAGTGACTCAAGGGAAAATGCCAAACTTCTGCATGAATTGTGGGGCGATTGAAACGCCCACGTGGCGAAAGGTTATGATTGCTAGGGATGATAATGACGAGGATATTAAAGATAAGGGCATAAAAACTGAGAAGGGTGAAAAAGAGATATTACTTTGCAACCCTTGTGGACTTTGGCATGCTTCACATAAGACTATGCGTCCGCAAGACTACTGGGATGGAAAGAAGGAGGAACCCTCGGCCCCAGTTAAGAAACCTCGAGTGAGAAAACGCAAGCAGCCGGCGACAGCTAAGCAGATGCCCAAGGAAGCTCAACAACCGACTTCAACGCAACTGCCGGGACCTCTCACTGGACCAATTGTGGTGCTAGATGAGGAGGAAACGCCTCGACATGCGCCGGCAACGGTTCGGAAGGTTCTTGCAATGACTCCTCGAGGGACGAGATCTACAAAGGGGAGTAATCCGGAATGGGAAGCTGCTTATGAAGCTGCGAAGCGTGTTGTCCAGTCCAGTCCTATCAAGCCCGGGACTGTAGATAGTCCTATTGATTTGGATGGCCCTGAGTCGAAGTCAAAATCACCAAGAAGGCTACTATTCACGAAGCCTAAAGTCAATGGCGCTACAAATCTGCGGCCGCAGGGTTCCGGTGATGGCGACCTAACAAGTAAATCTTTCCAAGGGGTGATTGCAGCAGGAGACGTCGAGAAGGAGAATTGTGCTCCAGAAAGCTTGGAGCCAAGGGCCCCTTCAGATATCGCTGCGCTCGATAAGCCAACAACCCCTCAGAAACGAAAAGTAGTCCCTCTATACCCCCGAACACCCATCCGAACCGGCAGCAGAACAAGCCTTGGCTCACCCAGCCCCTGGAACGCCGCCATATTCTCCTCCGCCAAAAAGGTAGCAAGCGGACTCTCACCCGGACACCGCCACCTCTCCTCCCCACAGCGTCGAAACCTCTCCCCGACATCCGCCTTCCTGGAGAAGCTTTTGGAGGGCGCAGATATCGACACGGCTTCGAGGAACCTTGAGGAAATGTCTACAGATATCCTCGGCACCTCACCTCACCACCACCTCCCAGGATCAGCCTTCAATTTCGGCGACGATATATTCGGCACGGACATGACCATGCCTAGCTCCCCACCGCTGTTTAACCTGGATGGCGTGGTGGACAATGACACCGTAAACAATGCCCTTTGGAGTGAGTTCTTGCCGTCAACGCCAGACATGGGTAATATGACCTGCGGACTTGACATCTTTGAGGATATTCACGGGGTTGAGGGGCGAGGGGGGGGGCAGGGGGGGGGTGCTGGTGCTGGTGATGATGATGATGGGGATGGGGATGGGCGACGGAGGAGTGAGAGCAGTAGTGTTGTACCGACACCTACGACGAGTGGCGGCAGGGTGGACTTTTCGTCGTTTATTGACGACGTATCAAAGGCTGTGGCTGCGGGTATTGGGGGGTAGCTAGTTGGGATGGTGTATACTGGTTGTTTTTTTTTGTTTGGGCTTGCGTTTTCCTATCTATTATCTCTTTTCCCTGGTTTGCACCTGCCCGGTTTGGTGTATGTAAGTAGGTGGTGTCTATGAGTGGATGATGTGACGATAAGTTGAGTGGTGCCTTGCTTGTTTCTTGTATAATTATTTTCCTTTCCACCCTGCTTCCCTCTCCCTTTTATTCTCATTTCATTTGTGCTCGCATCGCTATTGTTATACCGTTTTTCTTCGTGTTTGTTCCCTTAGGTTGGCTGGTTGGCTAGGGCGATATCTGGAGTAGGTATTTTTTTTATTTTTATTTTTTATTTTTTATTTTTCTAACCTTTGTCACATTATCTGGACCCTTACCCACCCTTTTTTCCTTTTTGCTTTTGTAGCGGTGTATCATTAGTTGGGTGTATATGCGGTTAGTTACTGGTATGATACTATGGGGTCTTTTTTTGTGCTGAAGAGAAAAGAGGTTGGGAGAGCGGGCTGTAGCGGGCGGGGAGGGTAGCTAGGTAGATTTGGTAATAAATATGATGGGGGTTTTTTTTTTGCCATTGTGCTGTGCGTGCAGGTGTCTGGAGCGCTCTACACCACTGGACCAAACACAAGTGCAGTCATATTTTTTCCCTCGATTCACCTTACAGCACCTGCTCTATCAATCTACGATATAATTTCATTCATCATATTACGCTGCAAGAAAAATAGAAAACTGCTATGATAATATTCTATTAAAAAAATAAACATGTTATCAGAATAAGGAAAATATCAATCATATACCCATAAATCAACCTGACAGCACATGTTGAAACTACTGGCACGAGCCGACTAAATGCCTGAGGGTATGATACATGAGTTCAAAATATTTTTACCGTTCACCGGGAAGCGCGAGGAAGTAGCATACGAGTCACGTATCATCACTCGCCCGGATCCATCGTGACTTGTTGAAAATGGCAGTTAAGTACCCGTAGCTCAGACTGGAGGCTACAGTGGTGTGCGTACCTCTCAGATGAGGACACGTAAGCAGTGAAAAGTTTTCACCTTATTTCTTTCCTATTTCTTTTCTTTTCTTTTCTTCTCAACCTTCTCAACCCTGAAGTCAATAACAAAACTCCACTCCACACCTCTTGTATGAAACTCTCCTTACTCCTTGTTCTCTACCCTTCACACACATACAATACAAGGTTCCCTCATTACCATTAGAGCCAACTCAGTCCACTGCGTAAAACCCACCTTTCAGTCATTACTGTTGCAACGACAACCAGTTTTATCCTGTCTGTCGTCCTCAATTTCCAACAGATTATGAGCCCGGGTTCTGTGTAACTCCAGTTGGCTCCGTTACTTGCTACTGCTTGTCTCTCCCGCAATTGTTGCCGTGATGTCAACATCTGATCGAACTTAGAAACTTTATCCTTCTGCTACCGGTGCAGTAGAGATTTTTACTTGTAAGTTCGGCATGACTTAAAAGCTTAACGAATTGAACTTTCACTATTGGAGTGAGGACCTTAAAGCTTTTATGAGAGCTGATCAAACCTACGATGTCATCTTCAAAAATCAAAATCCTCCAACACCTGATCAGCAGCCAGCCTATGCCGAATATCGAAATAAAATCAATTGAGCATTTGGAATAATTTTTACCTCCTGTACCCAACAAGCCAAGCAACACATTCGTGGCCTTGACTGTCCTATTGCTATGTGGGCTTCACTTCGGAAAAAGTATGACGTTACTGCTTCACGAATTGGACAGTCAACACTTCAGCGTCAACTCTTCACCCTGCATCTAAAGCCTGGGATGCAAATTAACGACCTGATTTCGGCAATGAAGTCTCTACAATCAAGACTTCTTGGTACTGATATGGAAATCTCGCCAAACTCCGTTGTGTCTCTTCTAAAATTCGCCTTCCAGAAGAGTACCTATCTACCATGGATCGAGTACTCTCTGAGTCAGACTTAGATATCGATCAGCTCGTGGAGGCTATTCTCCAGAAGGAACAAGCCATTAGAGAAAGAAAAGATGATGTGAGTGGATCAAACACAGCTGGAGCCTTGACTACAGCACTTGCTACAGGCATCACCTATTCAACTCTAAGTTGAGGAAGGATGTGAGGTTCACAGTACAACCACATCTACAATCGAGGAAGATACAGCAATACCAACTTTGGTAGAGGTCAAAACCGAAGGCATGAGGGACGATCTGGGCTAGTGTGCAATTATTGTACCAAAAGAGGCCATCGAGAAGCGAATTGCTTTATCAAATAAAGAGCTGAGTGAAGGTGTCGAGCTCTCCATCGAACCGATTCCCATTCATCACTGCCTAGTTGCATCTCCAGGAATCACAATGAAGAGGCTCTTATTGCATCTTATGTTTCTGAAAATGCTCTCATTGTTGATACTGCTTCGATTGCCCTGGAGCAGGCCAATTGGATCATTGATAGTGGAGCGTCCAATCATCTTACCCATGACAGAAGAGCATTTCATACGATCAAAACCCTTCCAGCACCAGTTCCAGTTTTTATTGGTGATGGAAGCCGATTGCTAGGGGTTGCTCGTGGCACCATTCAGATTCGATTGAAGTTAGGTGCTGTCTTGGAACTTGAAGCTCTATATGTTCCAAAGCTTAAATACACTCTCATCTTGGTTGCTGGCCTCTGTCAAAGATATAGTATTACCTTCTCCTCTACGACTTGTGAGATCGAAGGAAAGGCAAAAAAGCCGAACCGATTAGCAGTACTCCAAGATGGGCTCTGGAGACTTTGTGGTTCACCTCTCATGATACATACTTCACATGCGCTTCTTGCAAGATCTGGATCTTCTATCGCTAAGTTGTCTTGGGCACTGTGGCACTCCAGACTCGCCCACCTAAACCTTCACTCTTTAAAGGTTACTATAGGTGACTCTCTCCAACAACCATCTGTAAGTGATACAGAGGACCTAGTTGATTGTACAGTTTGTATACTGGCGAAGCAGCAGCGCAAAATTATCCACCAACCTGTTCCAAGAACTATGCGCCCATTTGAGCTGATACACTCAGACCTCGCTGGGCCTATCGCAGTACCTTCATGCTCAGGAGCTCGCTACTTTATACTCTACATAGATGACTATACACACTACACGTCCATGTACTTTCTGCAAATCAAAGAGGCTACCGAAGTTACCGGCTATTTTCAAGAGTTCATAACCCGGATTGGAAAGCAGTTTCCACAGTTCCCTGTCACCAGATTTAGATGTGACAATGGAAGAGGGGAATATTTCAATAAATTCTTTCGAGGCATTCTTTGTACATCAGGAGTGTTGTTTGAGCCAGCTCCGCACTATACCCAGCACAAAAATGGACTGTCTGAGTGCATGATAAGGACTATAGCAACAAAAGGAAGAAGGTTGCTCTTGGACTCGAAGCTGGACCCAGGTTTGTGGGCTGAAGCTATTAATACAGCAACTTATTTACATGCGCGTTTACCCTCTTGGGTATTAGGAGACAAAAGTCCCTATGAAGTACTCTATGGTAAGAAGCCTTCACTTTTACACCTTTACCGTTTTGGCTGCCTAGCCTATAAGTTGATTCCTGAGGCACAGCGCACTGAGAGGAAATTTGGTCCAAGATCTAAGAGATGTGCAATGTTGGGCTATGTCCACGATACGGGCCAGATTTGGAAGATGTGGGACTTGGAGCAAAAGCGCCCTTTTCAATCCTCTGATATTGTCTTTGATGAGACCAAAGTTGCTGGTTCCTTTGAGCATTACTCGGGACATGATATTTTAAGGCCTGTCCTTCCAGAGGATATTCTCTTAGTTGATGAGAATGAAGAGGATCCGGCTAACTACCACATTATAGATGTAGGTGGAGTGAGGTCCCCTACTGAACAGTCTTTGACTGTTGGCACATCTGAGAAAACTGCTAGGCTCTCTGAAAGCCTGATCGAGAATATGGGTTATACGAAGTCCCCCATGTATGTGAGCCCTGTGGTAGATCATGAGATGCAGCCTACACCTGCAGCAGAGAGTGTACAAATGCAGCTTACACCTGCGGAGTGTTTGGATTCCCGGCCAGCACCAGTACTACCTCAAGCGCCAGCAATTATTCCCCCACTTAGACATTCTGGTCGCATTAAATCACAAGTTGCACAGGTTGCTCTTGCTGATAAGGATAGATCTACTATATATGACTATGAGGGCAGTCATGGGGTTGATCCGGCCACTTATGCCGACGCTGCTAGTAATGAGCATTAGGGAGCAGCAATGCGCAGCAAGTATAAATCACTTATAGACAACAAAACATGGACGCCAGAGTTGCTGACGAGCACTACGGTGCCAATCCTGAGTTGTAAGTGGATTTACCATACTAAGGTAGAGGCTGACAGTTTAATACGTTATAAGGCCCGCCTAGTTGTACGAGGCTTTGAACAAGTCGAGCATGGAGAAACATTTGCTCCAGTGGCTCGCCTCATAACAGTTCGTATGCCTCTGACTGTGAGTGTTTTGAAAAATTTGCAAGTCTATCATATGGATGTTACTTCTGCCTTTTTAAATCCATCTATAGGTGATGAAGTTGTTTACATTCGTCCACCTAAGGGGTTTGAGTGGCTTGATCCTGATCTTTATGATCAAGTAGGATCTAAGGTTTTAAGACTGAGAAAGGCTCTTTATGGCCTGAGAGAAGCTCCCCGTCTTTGGTTTCAAGATATTAACAACTACCTTTACTCTATAGGATTTAAGCCAACAACAAGTGACTCTAATCTTTATCTCTCCCCTACAGTTATTCTTGTTCTCTATGTTGATGATATGCTTTTGGCAAGTTCTTCAACTTTTGAATTGCAAAAGGTAAAAGAAAAGTTACTACTAAAATATAAAATGAAGGACTTAGGATCGGTACGCCAGTTTCTGGGTCTCAAGGTCTATCAATCGAGTAGGAGTATCCAGGTAAAGCAGGAAAGATTTATCAGCAATATCCTGCATCGATTTGGACTCGAGAACTGTAATGGCCTCTA